ATCAGTTATAAAGACTCCCAGTTCTCTTTCAACAGTAAAGATCAGCTGGAAGCACTCAACCACCAGATCAACTGGAACCTAAGGGATGATGCTGCTGACCTCTTCTGACCCTCCTGACTTCAGTCAACTAAAGCTAGGACTCTGACAACTGCCCAAGCCCCTTCATGAATATGCAGGTACGCTTGCCTTAAAACTTCCCCAATTTTGCAGAAATAGAGACACAGATATAGCGAACAAATGTATGGACACCAAGGGGGGAAAGTGGCAGGGCGGTGGTGGTGGGATGAACTGGGAGGTTGGGATTGACATGTATACACTGATGTGTATAAATAGATAACTAATAAGAACCTGCTGTATAAAAAATAAGTAAAATGAAATTCAAAAATTCGAAAAAAAAAACTTCCCCAATTTCGTTGTTCAGAGAGACACTGCTTTGGGAAAGATCCTCAGTGTTCTCCTTACTTGCTACAAGGAATAAATCCTTCTTTCTCCTGTAGATGTGGTACATACATACAATGAAATATTATTCAGTCATAAAAAATAAAATAATGCCATTTGCAGCAACATGCATGGACATAGAGATCATCATACTAAGCAAAGTAAGTCAGAAAGAGAAAGACAAATACCATATGATATCATTTATCTGTGGGATCTAAAATACAACACAAATGAACATATCTAGGAAACAGAAACGGACTCACAGATGTAGGGAACAGACTTGTGGTTGCCAGCGGGGGTACAGGTAGGGAAGGGAAGGACTGGGAGTTTGGGATGAGCAGAGGCAAACTACTATATATAGGATGGATAAACAACAAGGTCCTACTGTATAGCATAGGGAACTATAGTCAATATCCTATGATAAACCATAGTGGAAAACATATATATATATATATATGTATATATATAGCTGAATCACTTTGCTGTACAGAAAAAATTAACACAACATTGTAAATCAACTACACTTCAATAAAATTTTTTTTAAAAAATCCTTCTTTCTCCCAACCTTTGGCTTGGTTGTATCTTTTGGCTCAACACGCACCAAGAGGCAAATCCAGTTCTCAGGTAACATGAGTAGTTAGGTATGGCTTGTTTAGAGGAAGGCCAACAGAAAGAATGTGGTACAGTGGGCTACAAAGAGGAGCATGCACAAGATCATGGAGAGTCTTCTCTTTTACCAAAGAAGGAGTTTAGGCTTTATTATTAGGTTATAGGGTGCTCTTAACAGACAATTTTTTTTTTTTTTTTTTTTTTTTTTTTTATTT